ATTTGTATTTTTCTTTTTCGACAAATATATACTGTAGATGCATATAGATATGGAGAGATTTTTTTTCGGTTGCATTGTTTTACACCTGGCTGTCCTTCTGTATTCTGGAAAAAACCATGACAGGACGCAGGAGTAACAAGAGAAAGCTTCTTGGCAAGAGCTTCAAGACGAAGACGAACAAACAGGAGAACTCCAGCTCGAAGGTGAATGCTACAGGGGAGGTTCCTCTTCCATGGGTTCATCATCAGGTCTGAGCAATTTCACAGCCAGGTGAGACAGGAAGGGGGGGAAGAGAGAAAAGACAGTTGAGCATGAGTTGGACAATTTGTGGTGCTCTCACACCTTACGTTCCCATTACCTTCCCACCAAGGTAGTTGGGCTCAGCTGTCTCACCTGCAATGACAACTTGCCACCAAGAAGGTTTTGGTTGGTTTGGTGGTTTCTTGGGTGTTTTTTTTGTTTTTTGGGGGAGGGGGGGGAGTAGTTATTTTTTTTTTTTTCTTTTCAGCAAAATGAACTTCCTCTTGTGGTCCAAAGCCACATTCAACTCCAGCTCGAGTGGAGGGATGAGGCCCAACATTCACCGCACTAAGGTCAAACACATGGCATTCATGGCACTGCTGTTCTCCTACAGCCCAGGAGGACATTAGAGAACCCACGCAGGGCAGGAGGTGTGGGGAACGTACGTGCAATGATTAAAAGAGAAGATTTAACCCTGAGGGCTGCCCACCATGGCTCCTCTTGCCTGGGCAGACTCAGATCATAGAATCACGGAATCACAGAATGGTTTGGGTTGATTGGGACGTTAAAGACCATCCAGTTCCACCCCCCTGCCATGGGCAGGGACACCTCCCACTAGCCCAGGTTGCTCAAAGCCTCATCCAGCCTGGCCTTGAACCCCTCCAGGGATGGGGCATCCACAGCTTCTCTGGGCAACCTGGGCCACTGCCTCACCACCCTCATGGGAAAACATTACTTCCTAATATCTCACCTAAATCTCCCCTCTTTCTGCTTAAAACCATTACCCCTTGTCCCATCATTCCACTCCCCAATCAAGAGCCGCCCCCATCTCTCCTGTAGCCCCCTTTCAGCACTGGAAGGTGCTGGAAGGTCTCCCCGGAGCCTTCTCTTCTCCAGGCTGCACACCCCCAACTCTCTCAGCCTGTCCTCGCACGGGAGCTGCTCCAGCCTCGG